TAATCGATTATGAAAAATTTCATTTCTCTCCCGACTCTTTTATCTCTTTCTTCCACCCGCCAGGGGTCAAAGTTTACACCGGAAACGGAAGTAAACGTCGGAAAAAAAAGAAAAAAATTTTGTTGGTAAATTTTTTCGCGGGATTTATCTAAAATTCTAATTTTTGAAATTTAATATGCGCGGGATTTTCTTATGAATTTTCTTTTTACACAATGACGTCATAAATCGAAATTCTAATGCCACGTCATTTAATTTTTTAATTTGCCCGAAAAAAAAATTTTTTTTTTTGTTTGTAAAAAATCATCGATAAAAATACAGGAAAGAGAGATTAAAAAAAAAAAAAAAGTGGCAGAAGAAAAAAAAAAATAATTTTTTTTGTTTTCCTTTCTTTCTTTCTTTACCCTTCCGATAATAATAATAATAATTAAAAAATTCATGGCTTTTTTTTTTTTTTTTTTTAGTAAGCGAACGTACACGTATGCGCGTAAATTTTTTTTTGTTTGTTCGTTCGTTCGTATGTTTGTTTGTTTGTTTGTTACCCGTTTTCCCTTATTAATAAATAAAAGTTTAAAACTTACATATTTGCGTCCGGCTGTTTTCCTTTCCCCCCCATTTTCTCCTCCCTCTCTCTCTTTCTCTCTCTCGAAAAAGACGTGGTTTTAAAATTTTTTTTAATTTCAATTCCTGGAAAAAAAAAAAAAAAAATTACGTTAAAGTTCATTTGCCTTTTTATTATCATTATTATTATTATTTTAAACGGTTTATTATTATCGAACTAGAAATTTTAACATTTTTTATAATGTATCGGTTCAGAAAATAAATTAATAATAATAATAATAATAATAATAATAATAATAATGATAATAATAATTTTATTTTTTCTTCATCGGAATCGATTAATTTTATTTTTATTTTTTTATTTTTTTTAATGAAATCTTAAATTATTTTTAATGTCTTCTTCTTCTTCTTCATCTTTTTCTTTTTATTCTTATTCGTCTTCTTCTTCTTTTTTTTTTTTTTTTTAAGGTCTATAATCGTAAAAAATTAACATTAAAATTTTTCTTAAAAAAAAAAAAAAAAAAAAAAAAAAAAACCGGTTGGGGGCCTGGCAACTCGAGAAATTTTTTTTTTTTATTTGGGTTAATCGATTTATATTATTATCATTATCATTATCATTATTATCATTATTATTTTTATGCTTTTTTTCTTTTACGTTTTCCCGGTTACAATTTTCAAAAAAAAAAAAATTATAAAAACGGTTTTTGAATTTATTACCGACTCTTCTTCTCTCATACTATCCTCTATCTCTCTCTCTCTCCCTCCCTTCCTCTCGCTGTCCCTCCTCTCTCTCTCTTTTCTCTGTCATTTTCTCCTTCTTCCTTCTCTCTCCCCGCGAAAAAGTTTGCGTTTTCGGATTTGGTAAATGATTATGATGATGATGATGATGACGGTTGTTTTCCAAATTTTTCTTTTCTTTTTACATCGAACGTAAACGTGTCAAGATTTGTAAAATGAGTAGAGGGAGTGAGAAGGGGAGGGAGAGGGGAGGGAAACGTACAAGAAAACAAAAAAAAAATTTCAAATAGTAAACTTGGTTGGTATTCGTGAAATGAAAAGTTTTTTTTTTTTTTTTTTTTTTTGCAAATAAACAAAAGGGGTAGGAATAATAATGTGAAGTCAAGTAAAAGAAGAAGAAGGAAAAGGAATGAAGGAAAGAAAGGAAAATGAAAGGATGGAAAGAATGGAAAGAAGGTTAAAAGTAAAAATGAAAACGTGTGACAGGATAAGACAGATTTAAATTTACAACATTTAAATATAAACGTCAGATTGAAAAATAATAAAATGAAATGAAAAAAGGGAATAAAATAATAATAATAATGATAATTTTTTGAATTTATAAAAGAAAAATTTAAAGAAAGAGAGAAAGAAAAAGGGAGAGAGAGAAAGAGAGAAAAAGAAGCAAAAGTTACAAGTAATTGGGATAAGAGAGAGAAAGATGGAAAAAATAAATCAAAACGTATAAAACAAAAGAAAGACAGCGAGAGAGAGAGAGAGAGAGGAAGGGGAGAGGGATAGGGGGGAAGGGGAAGAATCTGGATAAGAAAAAGTCATAAAAGAAAAAGATTCCGGTAAAAAAAAAAAAAAAAAAGAAAAACGAAAGAAAAAGTAAATAAATTTCTTGTTAAAACTTTTTCCTCAGCGTTAATTGTAAAACTTTTTATTGTCAAAGGCGAACGAAGGTAAAAGAAAGAAAGAAAAAAAAAAGAAATTAGGCCGAATAAAATGAAAAAAATAAAATAAAAAGAAAGAAAGAAAATGGAAGATAATGGGAAAACAAACGGAAACTTTAAAAGGAAAATTTTTTTTTTCCCCCAAAAGGTTCGAAACGTTCGCTCTTGGATTGAAGACGCCGTTCATTTTCATCATTAATAAAAATTTTTCATTTAAATCATTAAATAAATCATTTTTTATTTTCGTCTCTCTCTCTCTCTCTTCTTCCCTTCTTTCTCTCCTCTTCTTTCCCTCTTCTTCCCTTTCTCTTCTTCCTTTCTCTCTTCCCTTCTCTTCTTCTCTTCTTCCCTTCTCTCTCTCTCTCTCTTTTCGTTTTGACGTTAATTTATTTTCAGATGTCACGACGAAAGAAAATTATTATTATCATCATCATTATTTTTTTTTTTTTTGTTTTTTAAATTTTCAAGTTGGTTGATTGTTCCGGCTCAATTTCAATAGTTGGCAGTCCTTGTTTTTTTTTTTTCCTCTCTCTCTAACAGTCGGGTCACCTTTTTTTTTTTTTTCTCCTTCTGTCATATCATCTTTTAACGGGGGGGGGGAGGAGGACAAACGATCGAACTTTCCTTTACGTTCGACTGATTACTCACAGAGTCAGGTCATTTTTTTCGCGATGTTATTGTCATAGATCGATCGATCCGTTCGTTTAATTTTTTTTCTTCTTTTTTTTTTAAACGGTTCGTAGAATTTTCTAGACGATTCCACCGCGTCCTTTTTTCTTTTTTTTTTTAATTTAAGAAAGAAATATATTTGTATATGATTTATGAAACATTTCAAAATGGAGAGAGAGACGGAGAGAGAGACTTAAATAAAATAAATACGTACGTAAATATACGTTCAAATGAAAAAATATTCAACGATAATGTCTGATCTCGACAGGAGAGACATTTTGGATTCGTGTCAGATGGGATGCTGCCGCTCTTGCTCCTGCTCATGTCCCTCCTCCTCCTGCTCCCGACTAACGAGATTAAAAATCTCAATGCGATGAAAATTAAATTAATTATAAAATGATTGCGCGATACAATTGTTTTGTTTCATTCGAATACGTTCATCTTATGATTTTTTTCCCTTTCTTCCTTCCTTTTTTTTTTAAATACAAACGTTATTATTAAATCAATCGTTTCGCGTCATCAATCAATTTAAAATTAGTTAATTTAATCGTTAAATTATTTTCTATTTAAATAATAATAATAATAATGATGATGATGATGATGATAATTGATTTATGCTCGTTTGGAAAAATTAAAAAAAATTTCCTTTTCTCTTTTTTCCCACCCCCCTCCCCTCAAAATGATGTTAAAAAAAAGAATTATTTCGTCCAGAGGAGGATTATTAAAAAAAATCAATTTTGAAAATTTTCAACGGAACCGGAAACGTCAGCATTTTTTTAAAATTAATTATTTATCATTATTAATTACTGGTAAATAATAATAACTTTTTCGATGTGAAATTCTTTCTCGTTTCCGCTCTCCCTCCCCCTCCCCCTTTCTCTTTTTTTCTAACGGTCGTTTTTTTTTCTTGTGACGTTTTCGAGAAGGTACCCAAAGTGACGTCATTTCCGTTACGCCGTACGTATTTCCACGTGGAAATTTAATGAATTCGAACAACATCGAACGGTTTGTTTTTTATCATATTATTTCTTTCCAGAAAAGAAAAGAAGACAAAAAAAAACCGTTAAAAGATTTTTAAATTCGCATTCCGGAACGTTTTAACACCCACCCAATCCCCCCTCTCTTTCTCTCTTTTTCTTTTTGTCTCCCTTTGAATTTTAAATAGAATAAAATTTCCTACGATAAATTTTCACGCAAGTCCATCACCTTACGATTTTCGGATTTAAATAAATAAAAACTTTTTTTTAATTGTTACCTGTCGTTATTACGTCATCATCATTTCGTCATACAACTACGGTGTCTCGATTGCGAACACGTTACCGTTTCCATTCAAAATGGCCGCCGCCGTGGTAAAAACCTGGAATAAAAGAAGGAAAATTTTAAAAAAAACATTCGTAATTATCCTTTTTTACGTCGTCATTCGATCGGGAAAATGTTTAAAAAAAAGTTTTACTAGTAAACTTTAAAAGTATTATTAATTAATAAACTACATAACGTTGATAAAACAATAATAAAAAAAAGGGGGGGGGGAAATCTAATACGTGACGTCACATAACGTGTAACGGTAAAAATTTTTTTTTTTTTTTAAAAACTTTATCTCGATTTCGCTTCATCATCATCATCATCATCAACCTTTGATTAAAAAAAACCGTTTCTGTAAACCAATTAACAATTAATTAATTAATAATACGATAATAATAATAATAAATAAAGCGGTCGAGTTTTTACTTTTTGTGTGTGTATGTGTGTGACGAAAAATCGAATCCGTGCCAATTATTATTATTATTATTATTATTATTTCTATCATTCTCTATGAAATAAACCCGACAGTAAATCGTTGGCTCAACGTTCAAACGTTCACAAACGTGTTCCCCCCCCCCCCGTTCGTACAAATGACAAATGATCCAAACGAAAGGATATTTGAAAAGTGCATCCATCATGAATATTTTATTATTTTAGTTTTGACAAAAAAAAAAAAAAAGCTTTTTATATCGTTTGTCTCCACCACATTTTTTTTTTTTTTTTTTTACTGCTTCTGCTGATTTTTTATTTAAACGTTCGTTTCGAGAGGGGAATAGGGGAGGGGGCGGGGGGAGGGAAATGAATGTGTCGCCGTTCGATTCGTATTTGGCAGACGAATTGACATTTTTTTTTCAAAATGTCGACGACGACGAGAAGGAGGAAAAAAAAAAAAAATTTCCTTGCGTGCGTACGAAAAAGTCATTACACTTCATGTTCGATATATTTAAAAAATCGTTCGATATATCGAAAATTATTATCGTATTATTCCGACGCGTGTGTGTTCTTTTTTAATGAACTTCAAACTGTGCACGACGACACAAATTTAAATTATCATTAAAAACCTTTCGTAACGGTTTTTCTCTTCCCCCCTCCTCCTCACCTTCCTCCCTTCCTCCCTCTCTCTCTCTCCCTAAACTTGACGTTTAACATTTTCGGTTATCGTAATCCCCAACCGGAATCCGATTTTCTTTCTTTGACGTTATTAATACCGATTTATCATCATCATTATTATTATTATTATACTTAATTACTCGTCTGCGTTTTATTACTCTCTCTCTCTTTATAATTATTATTATTATTATTAAGGTTTCCGTTTTCTTCTTTTTTTTATAGGTGAAAATATGGTTTCAAAACCGTAGAACAAAATGGAAAAAACAAGATAACATAAGCAACGCGGAAGCGGCGGAACATAAAAATCAAACAACCGGTAAACAAGGTACGAAAACAAACGTCAAATCAACATTAAACGGTAAAACGATGACAACAACAACAACAATGCATAATAACGACGGAGCAATCAATTTAGTCAAAGGTGGTGGTGGTAATGGCGGCAGTGGTGGAGTCGGTGATGCGACAAACAAAATTTACATAAACGCCGACAACAACCCCGTATCGATTAAAATGAAAGATCTCAACAGTTTGATGATGATGAACAAACAACACGGGAGCGACTCAACCGTTAAAAGAAACGATTTAATTGTTAAAACTTCTTCTTCACCATCATCATCATCATCTTCGTCTTCGTCGTCGTCCTCATCATCTTTGGACTTGATTAAAATTCCCTCGAGTGATCATCATCCTTCTTTAGTTAATTCCCTATTTAAAACGGTCGACGGGACGACGACGATGGCGATGGCGATGGCGACGACGACGACGACTACGACGACATCTCCTAACGGAGAACGTCTCATCGTGGCAGCAGAAGAACATTCGAACGCTTCGCTTTTCACTCAAAACGGTTCGGAAAATTGTTATCCACACGAACCCATGTCCACAACGGATATCCCGAGAGTCGTTCAACCTTTCGTCGTCGGTTCCATTCCGGGACTCGGAGACGTGAGCAGACGACAGACTAAATCCGAACCTACGACGTCGCCATCTTGTGATAATTTTTCCCAATCCGAACTTTCGCCCGTTATTAAAAACGATTTGATTATAGCCGATGATGATAATGATGATGATGATGACGTCAATGATGGTGATGATGACGACGACGATGACGATGATGATGACGATGGGGGTGGCGGTGACGTAGTCACCAACAGTTAGCTAAAATTTAATTAGATATTAAATTAATTATTAATTTAAATCACGGTGATTTTGTTGATGATGATAATAATGATGATAATAATAATGATAATAATAATTTATTTGATCTCGTCAAATAAATAATGATAATAATATATATATACATATATTTTTTTTATTTATTCTTTTATCGTTTGTTTCGGTTGTTTGTCGAACAAATGAACAAAAAAAAATAAAAAACAAACTACTATTATTATTATTATTATTATTATTATTATTATTATTATTAGTTTTTTAATTTTATAATTTTTAAATTATATGTTTAAATAAATAAATTTCATTTTTTTTTCTTTTGTTAATAATAATAATAATAATAATAATATTGATTTTTTTTTCTTTTGATCGATTGTTGTAGTTTTATAAATAAATAAAAAAACATAACAAACGGTTTTGTTGTGATGTTTGTTTGTTTGTTCATTTATGTGCGACAGAGAATATATACATATATATATATTTCTTATTTTTTATGTACTTAAATAATTTTTCTTTTCTTTTTTTCGTTTAAAAAATAATAATAATAATAATAATAATAAAAATAAAAAATAAAAAAAAAAATTATGTATACATAAATTATTTTTTTTTCAATTTTACATTCTGGATTTATAAAATTATTTTATAATCTATATAATTATTCTCTAATCCTCTTCCGAATACATATCCTTTGAATCCCTTCTTTTTTCATTATTATTATTATTACTTTCCTCAATAAAAAATAAATAAATAAATAAATAACTAATGGTTAAATAATTATTCAATTAATTAATGTCCGACATATTTTATCGTTTTTTTTTATAAATACTTTTGCGACCTCTATAGTTAAAATTAATAACTAATAATGATAAAGCTCTTAGGTAGTTCGTTAATAACGGTTTGCGACATCTGTCGGATGTTTATTAATAATTTCTCTAACGTTCGTAAATCGATTTTTTTTTTTCGTTTTCAATTTCCATTTACATTAAATTATTATTTTTTTGACGTTATTATTCATCGATTTTAATAAATAACCAAGTAATGATTTCAATAATAATAATTTCGATAAATTAAATTATTTAATAAGAATAACGAATTATCTAATTCCCCGACTGGTTAATTAAAGTGTCAGCAGAAATTTAAGTATTTTCAAAATAACCTCTTTGAAGTTTTATTTTGAAAAATGTAAATAAATAAATAAAAATGGTACGTTATAAAAATCGTTACTACGTTGCCGAAATAGAAGTCAAAGATCAACCTCCTCACATTCCCATGTTATTTAATAACAATCAATTGAGGAATTCAATATTAAGAAAAATTCAAGAAATTCATGGAGATTTCGGCGTCGGAGCCGTTTTATCAGGGTACAGAGTCAAATATTGTAATCCGTATACGAAAGTTGTCATCATCAGAGCGAGACACGGACCCCATAAGTTCGTGGGGACAGTTTTACCACTCATAAAAAAAATCGATGATACTCAAATTCAATTTCACATACTTCACTTGGGTGCCACCATGGTGAAATGTTTTAAATTTATTAGGGTAATTATATTCTAACCATCCTTCAAACAAACAAACAAGCAAACAAACAAACTAGAAAAAGGCATTCATATTTATCATTATTATTATTTGCAGAACCATCAGTTATCGACATTAGAAAAATATTGGAATGAAATGAAAACAGACAAAGATAGAAAATTAATGAAAGAAGCTTTATTCGATATTAGAATTGTCCAATAATTTCTAACTCATGACTATAATTATAACAAATTAAACTCAAGATGAGGATAATGATGATGATGATGATAACAGGTTTGATTATTTGTTTATATGCATAATGAATTCAATTCATTTTATTTTGTTTTCGAGAAAAAAAAAAACCAAAAACATTTAATTCTTTTACAGAAAAATTCTGAAGAAATTTCACGAATCGATTAAAACCATTTGCTCACATTCGAGGTTGTCGTAACGATACCGAAAAACAGGTACTAATGACTTGAAATCTTAACAATTTTCAAAAGAAATCAAATAAAATTTATGATGCCCTGCGAGAACATGAGGGGAAAAAAAGAAAAAATTAAAGTTAATTAATGTTTACCTTGTTAATCATACATCGAATTTAACTTTAACCTTTTTTCTTATCGATACCAAAATCGAAATAAAATCTCATAGAACTCTTTCATGCAATTATTAATATGCTGTTGTTTCTGATTTTGCAGATGATACATACTTTCCATTTAAACAAATTAATTATTATTATTTTCACTTTTGAACATGACAAAAATGGTTCTAAATACCTGTCAGAGTTTCTAAGCATTCATTCCAAGTTTCTACTTGATTCTATGAGAGCAATTGCTCAATATCGATGACCATAAGAATCCTGTTCAAATCGAATGTGGCATGGCTTCCAATGCTCCAACAATGGCCAGAATAGTTTCTGTCTTAACTCCCCACATCCTGTCTATTTCAGCCTTTTGTCCACTTCTTTGGCTGTCTGGTGTTTGATTTCGTTTGTGTAAGAACACTTTAATTAGTTCACACCACCTTTCAGCATTATGTCTCAGTATGATATCTGGTTTGTTGTCAGATATTGTTCTATTTGTGTGGTTTTGTTGATCATACTGTGCATGGATTCACTATGCTAATCGAGCTTGGAATGTGGTTGTACCATTCATTGGGTAATCCATCTGATCCATATTCACGACTGATATTCCGATGAAGATATTGACAACTTTTATTGTGCCTTTCTAAGTATTCATGTTTTGCCAATATCGGACAACCGCAGATTAAATGGTCGATAGTTTTCTATCGTTATTGGCAAAGTCGGCCATACTGTTTTGGCGGACTTTGAGGATTACCTTTTCATAATGCCTGATCTTGTTCAGCTGTTAAAAACTCTTCTATTTCAATCTTGAATTTTCTACTTCTTAACCTATTGTGCGTGCTTTTCATGTTTTATGTCCAAATTATTTATTCTTTTTTTTAAAATAAATTTTAATATTAAACAAGTTAATTTCGTTACTTAAAGTTGTTTGCCGACTGATAGTTCGTTTCAATTACGCGAGATGTCGCATGCGGCCATAACGAATGTTTGTATTAATATATGGAAGACCTATCGATAATTAATTTTAAAACTTATTTAATTAACGCCATTCAATATCGCAAACACACATTCGAAAAAATGGGGGGTGAGGAGAAAATAAAACAAACAAACGAACAAAAAAAAAATCGATGACATTTTTATCGATCGAACCCGATATCGTTGATTTCCCATTTTTTCGAATGAATTTATTTAAAAAAAAAAAAAAAAAACCGTCACGTGATTTTAAATTCACGTTAAGACGTTTACAATCATCATATAAAAGAATTTTTTACGAAATAAAAAAAAAAAAAAATATTTGTCAGAAGTGGGATTCGAACCCACGCCCTCAGTGAGGACCAGAACGCTCGGAATCCGACGACATCGGATAAGGTCGACCTTGAGTCTGGCGCCTTAGACCGCTCGGCCATCCTGACAACTGATTCACCCAAAACAATTCCCCGCTCTATATAATTACTCGTACACATCGTTAATTAAACGATTATCGAATTAATTATTATTATTATTATTAATATTTTAAATTAATCAACGAATTTATCATACAAAATAATTTCGATGAGACAAAAAAAAAAAAAATGTCATCACCTACCGTAACGTATTAATTTACAATAAACTATTACAAAAAAAAATTAATCGCACCTAAAATCTGACAATTACAAAATTTTTACAATGATAATAATAACAATATAAAAAAAAACATATTTTTATAGTTTATTTCATCATCATCATCATCATCGTGCATTATATATATTATTTATAACAAAAGATGAAACTCACGGATCCGTAAAATTGTTTTATAATAAAAAAAAAAAAAAAGAAAAAAAGTTCAAAAGTCGAAAATCCATTGAAATTAAATTCAATATGTCTTTTTTCCTTCTTTTTTTTTTTTTTTGTTAAAAAATATTTTGAATTTTATTTAAAAATAAATGGCATCTGCCGTTTTCTTTTCTCTCTCTCTCTATATTACCACCATTATTTTCTTTCATTCAAACGTATTATTTATTATTATTATTATTCTATACTAAAAATCTTTAGAAAAATATACATTTTCTAACGTTTCTCTCTCTCTCTCTCTCTCTCTTTTACTCACTCATTAGAGACATCCAACAATCCAAATTTGTCACTTTAATTTGATATATGTATACATACGTAACACAAAAAAGAAAAATGTCGTTTTTTTTATTTAATGGCGACAACCAATTAATACTTTTATCGATAAAAACAAAAAATTATTAAAATCGAACGTGAAAAACGGTTATTTTAAAAAAAAAAAAACGGTTACGCGGCATTAAATTATACAAAAAAATATGCGCCTGTTGCTGCGACTACAACGCTACTGTCGCGGCGTTCGAATGCGGTGTTGCCAAAACCAACAATTGTCATTCGAATCAAAAAAACCGTTATTTTCAAAAAAAAACGATATATTTGTTGACAAATTCGCGAATTCGCGAACGAACGAATTCAAAAAAAAAATTTATTATTATTATTATTGTTGTTATTATTATTATTGTTATTATTATTATTATTATTAAACGTTAGAATTTATTTTTACAAGAAAAAAAGGAAAAAAATACAATAAATTAGATTCGGTCGAGTGGATATTATGGTTCATATTTACTAAAAATCGGCAAACCGTGTAATTGCACATAGTAGATGAATGACTTGAAATGACAAAATGGCGCGTACATGTACGTTATTCATTTTTTTTTTCTTTTTTCCCTTTATTTACTCACCATTTAACGAAATGAGAAAAGAAAGAAAAAAAAGAAAAGATGTTCGAGAGAGAGAGAGACAGATAGGGGGAAAGGGGGGTTATGTAAAGAAAAATAAGGAATGAAAAAGGTAAAAATCTCTCTCACCTGGGATTAAATCCCGACGGGGAAAAAAAAAAGGAATCATTATTTATCATTGTTATAAAAAAAAAAAATTTTTTTTTATTACGTTATTAATGTTAAATTATTAATATGTATTAATTTGTCGTGGAAGAAGAAAAAAAAAGAAAAAGAGAAAGAGGAAAAACGTGGAAATTTTCTTTATTTTTCAACAGGAAACGATTACGAATAAATTTTTAAAATCTCAAAACCGGGTTTAAAATATAGCAGACGACACGAATTCACGACAATAATAATAATAATAATAATAATAATAATAATAATAAAGAACATACAAAATGGATTCAGCACCTTAAATGTAGAAAAAATGGCAGACTTTTGGTCAAATATTTGGGAAAAATCTCATCCATTAAATAAGAACTCTACATGGATGAATAAAGAAAAAGAAGCACATGCCTGGATTGCTTCTTCAACAATGTCGGATGTAAGAATGGCGGATTTAGAAACATGCCTAAAAAACACGGCCAATTGGAAAAGTCCCGGATTAGATAGGGTACAAAACTTCTGGATTAAGAATTTTACAAGTACCCATAAGTATTTACTGGTATCCATAAATAAATTAATAATGGGACGGCAAGAAATGCCAGAATGGATAACCACGGGAAAAACGTATTTGCTGCCAAAAAATCAGGAGCTACGGAACCGAAAGATTTTCGGCCGATAACCTGTTTGCCCACAATGTATAAATAATAACAGCTATTATTGCTGAAAAGATTTATGGGCATTTAAGAAAAAAACATTTTCCTCTGAACAATATGGATGTAGAAAAGG